CCTGGCTAAATTCAAAATTTCTTACCAACTGAAAATATTAGGTGTGTCCCGCGCGCTCATATGACCTTATGCAGTTGCGAGCGCCGTAAAACACTTTACAAAAACAAAAACAAACAAAACACTTACAAAAAAACCCAACAAAAATCAACCCCAAAAAGTGTAATGTAGGCAGACGTCGGCAGTGAGAGCGTGATATCAGATAAAGTTACAGACGTGGAGCGAAAATCAATTGTTTGGAGAAATATTGATAAAAGGGATTCATTTTTCTATACTTTCTCCTTTTTATTTCTTTCACTATTGGCTGCAGTTATGTTGAATGGCCTTTTCAGCACAGTCTGGCGATTTCTAAGACAACATTTATTGTCTGCAACATATCAATATCATGCAATAATTTGTGGGAGTCGGAAACATTCGCTTCCGCATGACAGGAGACATTGTTTGAGAACCCAGCCTGCTAGCTATACATGGCATATCAACCAGATTAGACAACTTGGCGGTTTCAATTTGGTCGTATATTCCTTTAATGTGTCTGCTCTTTATTTATTTATGTACTAATGTATTTAGTTAGTTAGTTAGTTAGTTAGTTAGTTAGTTAGTTAGTTAGTTAGTTAGTTAGTTAGACAGTAAATTTTTTGTTTGAATTTAATTAAATCAAATTTAATTAATTAATTAATTAATTAATTAATTTGTTTATTTATTTATTTATTTATTTATTTATTTATTTATTTATTTATCTATTTTTAAAGGACGTTGGATATTGCTAAACTATTAATTGTCTTTTCGATTCCACCTATAGCTTTTGACACATGTCCAGAATGAGTCCTTCAAAACACGTTTTATCTGGATCTCAGGGTCAGTGAAATCGGAATCCAGCTGGCACAGACGGGAAACCCAAGGGACATAACAAGGTTATGAAGACAGCAGTGAGGAACCTCTATTCCTACTGTTAGTTCATCGAGTGAAATTCGCCTGTCAGTTCGTTACTTCAGAATTACAAAGTTGTTTTTTTTTCTTCCGTTTTGAGTAACTAAGACCATGAGATCAGAAACCAAATGCTCTATCTGCTCTATCAAAATCGTAAGATTATTTTGGGTCGTTTTCGAGATATTCAAAGAACTTTTTTTCGAAAAGCTTGACATACTGATTGTGAAGCTCAACATTTTTTACGTCAAATTTCTCAAAAGTAGGTACTGATCAGCCAGAACGTTGTTTTTCTAAGGTAGTGAACTAGTATCATCTCTGCTTCCGTGCCTCTTTCTTGTTGGTGATGTTCACTCTGCTTGGAGGCCGACCTAGTCGAGACCTGTCTGATGAGCTCGTGGACGACTCCTCGTCCTCTTCTTCTGGTCCATTGTTCAGATGTCTGACCCACCTATTTACAGAGTTAAAATTTAGAGCCTGGTCCTTAAAAAATATTTTCAGGTCTGTTATGGATGTTACAGTTGGTTTCAATAGCGGCTATTTGCTTCTTTCGGACCGCCATTGTGATGTGAGGTCATTCATGCAAAAATGGAAGACTTAACTGTATGTGAGGAAGCGTGGTGGAATCAGGCTCTCGTCAAAATAATTAAAGTGAAGAAACTTGCATTTTACCACAGGTTTGTAAATTTTTATCAAATTTTTGTTTTTTGGCTCAATAACTTTCATGCCCTTTAAATAACTCATTTCTGAGCGGATTTTTCTGAAAAACGTTGAATAAAGGCACAAAAAATTAAAATTATCAGTTACCACGGACTCTTAAGCTAAGGAAATAACTACTCTTTGGCAGCCATTTTCTCACTAGTTTTACCTCTGAAAACAAGTGACCGCCACCTCCTTCTTTCGCAAATATCTCGACTTGTATTCAAGATAAATGGATATTTTTTCATCCAAATAAAGGCAAGTGAACAAGCTTTAAGATGATACCAATAACTCTACATGCCCAAAAATTGACAAGAGCCTGATTCCACCACGCTGCCTCACAAATATTTTCCAATATTTTTGACTCAATCTTTGACTATTGTAACAATCCAGTGCCTTGACGACATATTCTCTTTCTGTCATCTATAACAGATCTGTGATACTCTGAGAGAGCTTCTTCAGAAACATTAACAAAGTACAGAAAAACTCACTCGTCCAACTTCACTTAAGCTCATCGCCAAATTTCATCTTTTCAGTCTCCAGCCTTTAGTTGCCAACACCGACAACCTCAGTACAGTTCCAGCGTCTTTGTTCTTTCATTTTCATGATTTTAAGAAATAACACGCTAACAGTACT